TGTTCTTTTGTTTACGTTTTGAATTCATGCTGAGTTTACGTCAAAACATGATATTTTGAAGGCCTACTATTTTTCCGAGTCTACCGAAACTGGTGCCGTCACGCAATGTTTTGAACAACAAATTGACCATCGTAGTCTATACAGGGGACCTCTTCACTGGCATGGACCTTGACACTATGATATATCTGTGTGTGTAGAACCTCGGTTGGTTATGACAAATGTTGATTTTAGCAATAGACAGTGATTGAAAGTCGGCTAGTTAAGTCATTTCAGGTATATATATGAAAGTGACGGTGTCGAATGCACTCATGATCTTTGATTACTACTAGTTTACTTTGATTGCCTTTGTAATATCATGTGGGACGTGGCTAATAATTCTGCCCCTGAAAATATCTAGCATTCCTTTATTAGGATTTCTGACATACACTCATATGCAACACGATCCCCTCAATGATAATTTTCTCACCAAATATTTGAGACTAGAGGTGGACCAAAGATCTGGAATTCTTTACCCTTAGACATGAAAAACTCATAAAAATTTACCTTCCAAAAATAGCTGAGGGGAAACCTCTTTGAAATTTCATTAAAATGTGGTGACTATCTTGAAATCACCAGTAACATCAATGAACTGAATCAAATTAGCTCAGCACCTCTGAATACTATGTAACTTACATTTATTAACTTGTATTAATTATCTAATTTACGATGTAAATTAAATTTTAATTTTATGTCAGTTGGTACTGCTAGTAAAATATGTTAACCTTTTTTACTTTAATTTATGTGCGCCCTTCCCCTGCCTCAATTAGGCTGTTCTTATATTTGCAGGTGGAAGCTAGTGTTATATTGTGTATACTTTAAGGACTGAATGAATGAATGAATGNGGACAAACTTCAGCAATTGAAAAATTATAGTTTTCATTTCATTTCATTTCGTTGAGTTCTTCAAGGATTTAGAAAGCACTGTTAATTTATTTCTGCTGGAGAGTTTTGAACAAAGGTAAATATCCTATTCCAGGTCATGTAAAGTGGTTCCCCAGGTCTGCATCATGTCTAAGTCAACCTAAACCTCAGTTTCAGAAAAGTTTTGAAATTGGAAAATGGTCTGTTTGAGAGCATTCAGGTTCTGACGCTTCCAAGGGCAGGCAGGCAGCCAGCCAATAGTGGCATTGCAGCTAACCAGCAAGTCGCTAAGTGCATTCAGTGTTTAAATCTTTTGCTGAGTACTCCAGCCAGTAAATTGTGGTACACATGAAGTTTTGGTCAAGTCTTAATCTTGTGCATCAGAATACCTAGCAAAAAGGTGGTTTAACACAGTTTTCCTTGACCCTGCATTTCATTTCTTAATCCTTGTATCATTTTCATTAAAAATTTCAGGAAACTGGATACCCTGTATTCACTGGAAGTAGAATCTTCAAGAATTAGCCATGGTAAGTGTGATCTATATGTATTGCATGTGTGTATTGGGGAGTCACACAAACTCTTTATTGTATATATGCCCTCACAGAAATTAAAATTGCAACTTAAAGTGGTACTATGATGAAAATCGTATCTTTCCTATTGCATCCATTTTAAAACATAAGCAAGTAGCCTGTGTGAGAAGAAAAATGCTGTTTACTATATTCAAATATCTCTTTTCGTTCCAGAGATATT